GACCCCTATGGATCCCCATGGATACTAGTAGGCTGATGAAAAGGGGGCACTGTATTGATGATAAAATATAAAAGTATGACATGTGCTATGTACAGATTATGTATGAATTCATGATATCTATGATGTTGTTGTTTATCGGTTGTTTTTATAAATCCCACTGAGATAAATGGACGGTACATGATTTGATTATTGATAAATGAATCGATTCAAAATTTATGCTCAATTGGTTATTTTTAGTTTTCTACCAGCCTTTACTTCTGTGATAGTGATATAGTGTGATGTCTTTACTGGGTTAGGGTAGTTTATTCCTTACTTAACCATTTCAGATCAGGAGGACTTGGTTCCCAAGCCCGATGCATAAGAAGACGGCGAGTAGATGCCTAGATGTTTATTAGTTTTCTTGTAGTCTTTCATTTCTAGTATGTTCTTTAAAGGACTTATTTTTTTGATATTGTTAATACATTTAAGTTATTGTGTAAGAGATATTAATCAGAACCTTTTATTTTACTTCTGCACTCATATTCTTTATATACATTTCCTTTTAAATTTTCGGAGTCGTTACATTCCAAATGTACATCATACTCCTTTATATACCTGGCTATTATATATTTAAAAATATAATCATAATAAGCCTAACTAACGTCACATAATACAAATATAAATAGATTAATACAAGTGGGATTGCACGTGGGTCGGATCCAAGAATAGGTTACATAATCATATTCGAATAGTGTTGCATTCAATTGTGAGAGCCTGATCATTAAGATATTTAGGGTTGTTAATTTATTAAAATAGAATTAAATTAGATTAGAATAAATTAAATTAAATATTAAAAATATAATATTTTTAAACTAAAAATCAAGTCAAAATATTAGATCAAACTGAACTAGTTCGATTTAATTTTAATCAATTTTTTAAAGTTATATTCTAATTAAAAATTAACATAAATATAAAAATAATTGAATGTTTTCATATTAATTTTTTAATTATATGATAATGATATTACAAATGTAACAGAAGATTAATAACTTGTTCCTTAATAATTATTATGTTTAAACAACTTACAAATCCATAAATTTAAAGAATAACATTTTAATTAATACATAAAAAATTGATAAAAAATAAAATTTTAAATTAAAAATTGAATGATTAAATTAGGAAATTCATGGGGTTGGTAGTTCTTCAAATTTTGATGAATGAAATATATATATATATATATATATAGTGAAATTTGAAAAGCTGAAAACTTGGGCAATGGGTAGTGGGTTGTTTGGCTGCTTTAATAATTTATTTATTGAATTCGTATTTTCCGACAGCTTCAACACTTGAACTCTACTATTTCCCCATTACCTCACTTTCCCCCAACATCCCTCCACTCACACTCATCCCTCTTCCTCTTTTTTTTTTTTTTTTTAAATAATTTGTTTCCAAATTTTAGTTTCTATAAATCAAATTATATTTAAAAATTAAAGTAATAATAATAATAATAATAAATAATTAAACTGATTTTCCCAAGTGGTTAAACTAATTTTTCTAAACACCCAAGTCCTCCTCTATAAACATTCAAACTAATAATGTTGCTTTGTCAGTCCTGACCCGTCAGTTCTGACTTCTGAATATGATCAATTAATTAAATACCCCAAGTCAGTTACATACAACCCCCCCGCCCCCCCCCCCAATGGAGATATACCTATGTGTGTGTTTGTGTATATAATCTGGCCTCTCCTCCATCTAACGACAAGTAGAGATAGCCTCTGCATTTACAAAGAACGTCGAAATCAAGAGTGATCGTTTTTTGCTTCATCGAAAAGCAGATCGGAAAACCTGAAGAAGATGAATATGACCAGCTCCAACGAACACTAATACTCACAGCAAAAGTACCATATATATAAATATATACGTGTGTATATGTGGACAGAGAGAGAAGTGATGATCAGCAAGGCTTTAAGTTTTAATGGGTGGTGGTATTAATGGGAGGACGAGGAATCAATGAGTGACAAAAAGAGAGATGATCCCTGTACCCTTACACGAAAAATCATATCAATATATAAATATATCTGATCATTCTCTTTCGTTTATATAATATATACGGGCGGAGTTGAAGGTTTTTTGTCCAGCTCCTGGAAGGCTCTGGAGAGGTCAAAGGGGTTGAAAGAAATTAATGGCAGAGAGAGAGAGAGAGAGAGAGAGAGAGAGAGAGAGGTTATGGCTTATTAAAGCATTAAGAGATAGAAGGAAGAAGAAGGTGACAGATGTGAATGGGTACAAAAGTGATCGCAGCTTTGCATGCCAAACACGTTTTGTTCGGCTTGGATTTCTCTGCACCGATCCGAGCTTCATCATCATCATCATCATCATCATCATAATCACATGGCTGATCAGAGAGAGAGAGAGAGTGGTGTAACTTACCACTCGCTCGCGTCAAGCTGTTTCTCGCTGTAAATTAAAGGAGACGGTGCAGTTTTTATCGCCACAAAGCAAGAAAGAAAGGAGAGAGATACAAGATTAATGGCCTCCACTGAGAGGAGATAAATTAGTGGGTTGCAGATAATTAACACTAAGTTCTTAAATCCAAGGAAAGTAAAACTACAGTTAGAAGAAGAAGATGCTTGGTTTTAACTCTCAGTTTTTGAGCAATGGCTCATCTTTATAACTGCTACCCAAGTCATCATTCATCCTAAAAATTAAAGATTGAAAAACAAAAAACTAGGCACTGACAACAAGAAGAAACTAAACAAGAACCCAGAAAAAAAATTTAGAAAAAAACCAAAATAAAAAGAAGTAAGAACCCTAGCTGGTTAAGTTATCTATCATGACTAAATTCACAGCAGAGAGATTTTGTTTTTTTTTTGGTGGGGGGAAGGGTTCTAACTCAGATTCTCTCTACCTAGTGATGTTTGCTTAACTTACCTTCTTCTTCTTCTTCTTCTTCTTCTTCTTCTTCCTCCTCCTCCTTCTTCTTGGTCTACCTCAAGACTGAGAAATGTGAAGTTAAGTAATTGTTTGTTTCTTGTTTTGGACCCAGCAAAGAAATTAGGGTTTCTTACCAAGAGTGTGCTTGTTGTTGTGCATCCATACCTTAAGAACATGTCTTTTTACACCACTTTCGGCACAAAACTGTTCCACCACAGCTTCATCGTGCTTCTGGATCCTCCATCCGACCCGCTCCGAAAACGCCAACATCTTCTCTTTCTGTTCCTGTGTAAACTTAGTCCTGAACCTCTTCCTTAATCCGCCACCGCTGCCACCACCGCCGCCGCTACTACTTGGATTCGAAACATCTTCTTCCTCCCGGCTGTACCCGCCTCCAGATGCCGCCGGGAGAGCTAAAGGCCTGTGCTGATGAGGCTGCGGTGTAAGGTGCAGGTACCCAGCCGGCGGCGCCGCTCGGTAATAAGCCGAGAACTGGTGGTGATGATGGTGCTGCTGTTGATGGTGGTAGATTCCTTCTCCAGCTCCGTCGGTTTCTTTGCGGTGAAAATTCCGGTGGCAGTTGCAGGCGGCGCATTTCAGAGCATCGATTGTGCCTTCCTCCCCCGCCGCCATGAACTCTCCACAACCGTCCAAAGCGTGGCCACCGATGTTAACAGCGTGATTCTTTAAACATTCTCTGTACCTGACGGCGTTCTTCCTTCCGGCAGCCGAGCCGCCGCCTCCACCAGCCTCGGCGCCACCCAATTTGGACCTCCCAGCTGAGGAAGAGTTAGCCAAGGAGTCATAACCGGGCGGAACACCCATGGCCGCCATTTCCTCTTCTGGGTCTTCGTGTTCTTCAAAATCCATATCCCTCTCCTTCCTCGTCTCGCTCAGTGTTAATTCCTCGTCTCTGTCACCTTATGATTCTTGGTGTGATAGACAGAGATCTACATGGCCGGTTTTACAGAAGCAGATCCAGGACTGGCAAGTAGTGACACGCACATACACACACAGGCAATTCTTGAAAAGATTGTAGACATCTCTAATTTATATTCGTCACTAATAATTTCCACTAATAATAATAATAAATAGTAATTTAATTTTTATTTTTATTTTTATTTTTATTTTAAAATAATAATAATAATAATAATAAGAGGAGAAGAAGAAGAATGTGAAGTAAAATTGTAGTGACTTCAGGAGATAAGAGGGGGAAGGAGAGTGTGGCCATCAATTTCCGACCTCCGCAGAAAAGCACTGTCTTACTCGAGATTTTTAAAAAAATAAAATAAAAAACCTTTTGTCATCTCCTTTCCTATTTTGTGATCCCAATTTCTTATCCTGCTAATTAACTTAAATAATCATTAATTAATTTTTAATAACTCACTAATGATTTATTTATTAATTAGTTACTTTTTAACAATTTCGGTTTATATTTAGATATATAGTATTTTAGAATTAAATTCTTAAATATTTCAACTAATTTTGTTTTTTTAAAAATTGGGGGATGTATTAGTAATGATTATTTTCAGAAATTTTTAAATTTTTTATAATCAGTATCTGATTGTTGGGTTAAGCAGTACTTTTATAGTTTCTATTTTTTTTTTTTACTTTTAATAAATTACAAGTTATAAGTTTAATTATTACCTAATATAAAGACATTTTATATAACATGTATGTTAATTATTTTAAGATTTTTTTAAATAACATGTAATAAATATATAGAATGTTAAAATTTAAATATATTTTTCAATGGACATAAATTTTTTTATTAAAAAAAAAAAAAAAAAAGGGTAGAGAAGTTAGCGTGTGTTTGGGAAAGTGAAGGTGATGAGGGAATAGGGAAAGGGAGAGGTGGTGTTTGGGAACATGGGACACAACATAATCACATCACATGTGCCTTCCTTCTTCTCTTCTCTTCTCTTCTCTTATTCCTTTCTTTTATTTCAATAAGTAATATATATTTTCAATAATATTTCCAGAAAATTCTACAAACATTATATAATTTATTTTTATTATTAAAAATGTATAAATTATGTTAAAGTTAATCAAAAAATTATTCTGATTAATTGAAATTTCATTTATTATATCCAAAAAAAATTTAATCAAATAAAATTTTGTATTTTTTATTGTATTATAAATAATTTTTATAGAAAAATGTATAATTTAAAATATATTATTTTAATTTTTTTATAAAATATTACGGATAAAAAATAAATTTAGAAAATAACAAATTATAATCAAATATATTAAATACATTTGCGCGTAAATAAAAAATAATTATAATTAAAGTCTCTGCGTTTATATACATACGTGTGTCTGTGTGTGCGCGTGTGACACGGACTTACATTAAGTTGTCGGCTTTTATGCCACCTGCCTCCGTGCCCTCCTTCCCGGACATCAACGTGACGTCATTTATATACTAAGTGTTGATTAATTTGAAATTTTTTATGGAAGGTTATAAATTTAAGTGAAATTAAAATTTTGTGTATATTTTTATTTAATTATGTTATAATTAATATTATTTAATTAATAAATGTATACGTTTTGTAATTATGAAAATAACGTTAAACTCATCCCAGTCATCTCCACGTCTCAATGGGAACTTCAGTTTTTCTTGGTTGTCAATATATATATATATATATATAATTTTTGTTAGTTTTTGCCAGTTTTATGCTGACGTCAACAGTAATAAATCCAAAAATTAAAAATTAAAAATTAAAAAAGCTGAACCAAGTCTTAAAACGGTCACAAAAAACAAGAAAAAGAAAAATAAAATTTTACCTAAAGTAAAAACAAAATTATCTAATTTAAAAAAACAACATTCACGTTATGACTAAAACATTTAATTATTATCAACTATTATTGAAAATCTTTTAATATAATTTAAAATTTGAATTTTTGAAATAAATATATAAATAATGATCAAATTATAATAAAAAAATATTACATACCAATTTTTTTTTTTAAGATTCATTTAATAATTTAAACATACTGACCAATATTTTTTTGATTTGCATGGTGAATATTTCAACAGTTTCAATAAAAGTTTAATAATGATATAGAGAAAATATAATTAATTAAAAAACCTAAGATGGTAAGCTTCATGTAATGACTTAATTAATTTTAATTGTAGTTAAAATTAATTAATAAATACAATTTCCGAATTTTTTAATTTTTATTTGATGTAAAATAAAAAAATTAAATGAATGATGAATTTGAAAATAATTTTAGGAAAAAATGATAAAAATTTAAGTTA